GCCGCCCAGCGGGAGACTCCAGCAGCTCCATGTGTTTCACTGAACAAAGCGAAGCTCAGGGGTGACTTGAGCCCAGGGGATCATACCTGCCTGGGAACGGCTGATTGCACCTGGGCTCTCCAATCCAGCAGGCAAAGGCCTGACACAACCCGAGGGCCGGAAGCTGGGGCTAGGCAAACTCAGACTGGACATAAGGGGCAGATTTTTCACGAACCCCTGGAACAATATACCCAGGGCTGGGGGGATGCTGCAACCCCGCAGGGCTGGTTCCCTGAAACCTCTGTTCTAGTCCCGTCAGGAATCTCTGGCGGCAGAGGTCCGGCCTATGCTCCAGGCCATCGGATGAGATGATCACAGTGGTCCCCTCTGGCCTTGGACTGTAGGAATCGGCTGGGGCTGGGGGAGACAAGTCGCAGTCGGGGGGGGAGGAGGAGGGAGGTTGGTTCTGCCAAACCCTTCCTAGACAGGACGATTGCCCCTGAAAGCTCCCGACCCCTCTCCTGGAGCTGGGGGGGAGAAGCCGGGCTGGCGGGACGGGACAGGCAGGGTGAGTGATCCGAGGCTATAAATACAAAGGCCTGTGACATGCACCTTTTGTTATCTGCCCTTTCGAGCAGGAGCAGCTGAGCGATGCCCTGGCCTGGCTCTGAGTGGCTCCTGGAACAGGCCCGTGGCTGCAGAGGGCGTGTGCGAGGTTTGTGAGCCTGTGATGTGTCGAGATGTGGGTGGGTGGGAGGGTGGGGGGGAGGTCAGTGGTGCCAGGGCGGAGTGTTTTGTGGGTGCAGCGAGGGAACATGTATGTCTGTTAGGGGTGCATGGGGAGGTGAGTCCGTACCCTGGGGATCCCCTGCTGGGACCCCCTCACTCTGCACTGACAGCGCCGGGAGGTGTCTCCTGCTTTGGCCAGTGCCCCCAGGTCGGGGATTCGCACTCCAGGGGCCGCAGTGAGGCCAGGCTGGGCACAGAGCCAGGCAGTGCAGCGCTGGCTGTGCAGAGCGTGCGGGTTGGCACCTGGGCGCTATGCTCTCACCAGGGGGCGTGTGCACGCGTGTGAGAGCACACGCATGTGTGCATGTGTCGCGTGTTCAGACATGCTTCCTCTCATGCCCAGCCCCCTCCTTGCTGGAATGCTGCTGCTCCAGTTCCCTCTGCACCCCTCAGCCACAGCATGTCTCCATCGCTGCTGAGTCCAACGTCCCGTCCCTGAGCTAGGGTGACCCGGATCCTGACACCAGCCAGCCAGCAACGGGGTCCTTGCACCCCACGGGGGAGAGGGGGCGTCATCGCCCTGGAGCTGGGAAATCCTGGGGGCACAGATGGGCTGGGGGGGTTCCCCACAGCTCTAGCTAACCCCCCCCCCACGCGGTGCTAAGCCCAAGGGGACGGGGCGTTATGCTGCAGTGAGGCCACCAGCTGCGGCTCTGGCACGTGGGGATCTGGGTGCCCCACACTGCTAGTGCATCTCCCGCGGCCAGGCGCTGCCGGGGTCTCTCCCTGCACCTAGGGTGACCAGATGTCCCGATTTTATAGGGACAGTCCCGATATTTGGGGCTTTTTCTTATATAGGCTCCCATTACCCCCCACCCCCTGTCCTGATTTTTCACATTTGCTGTCTGGTCACTCTACCTGCACCCCAACGGGGGCTTGGCTCACCCCGGGCTGCTCCATCTTGCCTTTAGTTGCATTAACCCACTTGGCCACCAGGTGTCAGAGACGCTTCACAGATGACAAGTGCAGACACCCTGCGGGGGTGTGTGTGTGCGGGGGTGTGTGTGCGCGTGTGTGTGTGTGTGTTCAGCTGCAAGTTGCTGGATAGTTTCAAGGGGAGTCCTTGGATTCCATTTTCCAGGACTCCTGGGTTCTGTCCCCAGCTCTGGGAGGGAGTGGGGGCTGGTGGGTTAGAGCGGGGGGGCTAGGAGCCAGGACTCCTGGGTTCTGTCCCCGGCTCTGGGAGGGAGTGGGGGCTGGTGGGTTGGAGCGGGGGGGCTGGGAGCCAGGACTCCTGGGTTCTCTCCCCATCTCTGGGAGGGGAGTGGGGGCTGGTGGGTTGGAGCGGGGGGGCTGGGAGCCAGGACTCCTGGGTTCTCTCCCCATCTCTGGGAGGGGAGTGGGGGCTGGTGGGTTGGAGCG